GTGGTTTCCTGTTAACAATGTGATTCTGTAGTCAGTTTAATAGATGGAAAGAAAATAATTCCCTGATGCTCTATAATACCTGCTAGCACATCTAGGCCTGAAGCATTAGATGGAAAGAATTCAATCCGTTATCTATCACGCCGATATACACATCTGACTTACAAATCACTTGCCAACATGTGTATAAACACACACACATAACAACGTATTATTATTATATATAAACTCCTTTCATACAAGGAAAGAAACATACCTTGATTTTGTGAACAGGATATGTAGGTCACCGTGACAGGGCAGCCAACCTCTCTACATGACTGAAACAAAAACAATCCATTATCAGTTCGATTACTGGACGGTAATTTTTCACCATATTTTTCTTACCCATTTTCGTGTATAATATTATTCTACTTCCTATCCAGGAAGGGAAATTCGGGTGAAACAAATGCCAAGCAGTCACTGAACTGGTCGCGTATCCATCCATGGGAAAGAAGGGATCCGTTTCACTAATAATAAAGATTTTTCGTCACAACTTTATGCCATTCGAGGGCCGTATAATACCATATGTGATATTCAGTAATCATATGTATCACATTGGGGAATGCGCAAACTCGTGAGATGGGAGCGGCGTTTTCGACACAATCTAAGCTATCGCCTAAAAATGACGTAATTTTAATTTGCGGATCACTACATACCTTCCTGTCACATTGTAGATCGCAATTTTTAAACGAAGCCGTTAAAGGGGTATATATATTATTAGGATATTATTGCCTCGTACCTGACGACCGTGTCCCTTGTTCGATTCGGGAATGGCACGGCGGGTCAACCGTCTTCGCGCAGCGTCCAACTTCTAAGTTGGACCCACCATACTCCTGGTTCCGTTTTTTCGGCTGGCGGCGGCCGCCCTTAGACTAGATGCGGGTCCTCCAGTGCTCCGATAATTTCCACCGCGCCCCCTTCCTTAGGTACCTCCTGATTCTCTGAATCAAACCCTATTTATTCGATTTCCATCCAAATCCGTGGTCTCCGTCTTTTCTAGACCTGCTTTCATTATTGCCAATAATCCCTCGTGATGTCAGTCCATCTTGCTCTCGAACATTCCACGATGGCTAGCAAGCGTTCCATCATTGGTTCCGCCATTTGCTCCATATTTGTTGGCTGATGATACAACCAACCACTGTGGTCTCCAATTGAATCCCACTTCTGACACCAGCTGTCACAGGTATGCGTGAATACAGGCGGGATTTGGATAATTGGATTTATTGAACACTTACAGATTGTAACTACAAGTATACTACTATTGCTAATACATTCCACAATTCGCCACAGCACGCACTAAGTCGTCTCAGTCTGTTGTATCTTCACCGGTTGTCGACTGGTAACGGCTTTCAACGCCGTAGCTTCCTCAGCTTCCGTGTTCATGTTCTTACTGGCTGCTGACTGTCACACAAGTAAATCCTACTCTTATAACTGCAGTGTCAAGGCTCTCCGCAAACCCAGCTGCTCCTGGGCCTTGGCACGGACCGCACAGAGAACGTCTCCCAACATTCTTCTATTGTTGAATGACGTAGCTATCCCACGTGCCCAGTTACTACATTCTTGCCTGTTAAGAATCAGTCGTGCCCATTACCTAGCAACAGCCGTTGTTTACAGAGCTATTACCCCCATACGACTTTTGTATAGCTGGTGACTTAGTGGTCGTTGACTAGCAATGGGTCTACATGCCATAATATCATCCATCCTTTATTCTCACCTTTCAACTGTTGTGAGACAAGTGGGAATTAGATCCATTTAGATGAATTACAATTAGAAACAACCCTTATGAACATACAGTGGTGTGTCAGAGGTAGCTAGTTACAAGTTTAAGGAAGTTCACAAACTTATTGATGAAAAAGAATAGGAATTAAACCATCCAAATTAGGCACACCAGTTGCTGGTGTTATCCTCTATTGACACAGCTGTGTTGGTATAACAACATGACTGAAAGCCGGAATAGTTCATTGCTAGGCAACGACGGTAAACAGGTATCCGCAAAATTGAACAAGGACGCAACAAAAGAACCCGTTTCTAAGCAACAGACAGGCAAACACACAACAATAGGGGTACTGTTGGAAACGTTTACTATTCGGTCCGTGCAAAGTGGTTACATTGAGAATAAGCTCACAATTGGCAGTTGAGAGTTGAGCTCTGTGAAGATAAGTTTGAAGAGATGGCAGCTGCAGCAGAGAATTGGCTTCAGAGTTCCAGATTTGGCTGATGGTGGAGCAGTCGAGTAAGTTCAGTTGGGAGCTGAAAGTCCGGCTGTGAAGGCTTTATGTGTACTATAATACAATGATATTTGGAGCATGTTAGTCAGTGGGATTGTTATAATTCCTATGTTAAAACCCTCTGCCAGGAAACAGACAGCGGAGACTGTAATAGACTGAGGACACTAGTGTGTGTGTAATGGTGAATTGTAAAGTATGTTGGTTAGTGATAGCACTGTAATTAATTCTGTGTGGTGTGTATTAGTGGTCAATAAATCAAATTCAGTCAATCCATACTCCAGTTAACAGTCACAACCATAAAACATGATGGTATTACTGGTTGTTATTTTATGTTGTTGCAGAAATTGTTGGCCCAAGTTCATAAAGTGGGCTTGGGATGAGGCAAATATGGTATTATTACTTTAAAGCCTAAGATAACAAACAGCATCCACAGGTCAAGTGACAGCCTGCACAGGTGAGGCACAGGGCTCAGCCTGGCCACCCAAGTTGAAAGCAGACTCAATAGGCGAGGAGATATGACAGAACCGACCCCAATGAATATGTCCATCAGTACCAGAATAACCTGATCTCATAGCAGGAGTTTGTCAGTAGTTAACAGGTAGCTTCGACAGATAGAGTGGCCACTAAATTCATCTGTGGGCCAATCTCTCTGAAGAGGGAAGGTGAAGTGGACAGAAAATCACTGATCACATATTGCCAAACATGGCTAGCCACAATGGAGTTGTTGGGTCAACAAACATCTGCATATTGTTTTCAGGTCCTCATATATAAAGTAGATGATGTGAACTGGACTTGACCCATCACTGGTGACAGCAGACATTTTGTTCACCTGTTAACTTTGCCCCATCACAGTGCTGGAGACCCCCCCTTCCACATGTATTGAAAACCTGAATATAAATGCAATGATTATTATGCATTGGGAGGTGGCCAGACAAGCTTGGGGATAGGGTGTGGCAGCATCACATCTCCTCTCATCAAGATTTTCTTATAAGCTCTCCAAGATTACATGAGGAGAGGATATTATTCATAAGCTCCATCATGGGAGGTCTCTATGTGAGTCTAATAATCGAACTGAGACCTAGAAATTCAACTATGGTCCTCCGGTCTGGCCTTCATAACCATCTGTAAATAATCTCACATATTATTAATAAATCATTATATAATTTGGCTAAGTACTGTCACAAGTTTCACTCTTCAACAGCGCTCACCCAGTTCCAGTATACTGATTGCATTTCTATAATATACGAAGGGCGTTCCATATATAATGCCTCCTATTTTTTTGTGTTAACATGTAACGTCTGAGCTGGATGTTGGTGGTGTTGTAGTAAAGGTTGTACCTTCCCGCCAATGTACTGTTAGTTTGGTTGTCATGCAACAAATAGTGACAGCAGAGTAGTCTACCAAAATGACGTCTGACATAGAAGTGCGTACAAAACAGAGATGTGTTATTGAATTTCTCACTGCTGAACAAATTGCACCCATTGATATCCATCAACACTTGCTAAAGGTGTACAGAAACAATACAGTGGATGTCAGCACAGTGAGGTGGTGGGTAGTGCATTTCAACAGTGGTGAAAGTGAAGTGTACGACAAGTCACGCCATGGGTGTCCCTGCTCAGTTGCCACTCCTCACAATGAACACCACCTTGATCAGCTCATCCGTACAGATCGGTGGATAATGACCAGGGAACTGTGTGCACGGCTTAATATCGGCTGTAATGCACTGGAAATTATGTGGGGGAAGCTGGATTATCAGAAAGTTTGTTCCAGGTGGGTCCTGCGGATGCTTACACAGGACCACAAAACTCATCAAATGGAAGTCTGTCAGGACCTGTTGCACAAGTTTGAGGCTGAAGGTGAGAAGTTTCTGGACAGCATCGTCACCAGAGATGAGATGTGGTGTCACCACTACAAGCTGGAATCCAAAAGACAGTCCATGAAGTGGCAACATCTGGATTCCCCAAGAAAAAAGAAGTTCCAGACACAGCCATCAGCAGTGAAAGAAATGTGCACGGTCTTTTGGTATAGGCTGGGTGTGATTTTCTTGGATTTCCTGGAGGTTGGTGAGACTGGCAATTCTGAATGGTACAAGACACTGACTAAGCTGAAAGCCCTCATTTCCCAAGTCAGGCTAGAGAAGCAGACAACCTTTCACTTGCAACATGATAACGCTAGACCACATACCAGTTTGGCGACCACCGCGCAAATTGCAAAGTTTGGCTGGACTGTCCTACCACATCAACCTCATAGCCCCGATTTAGCACCTTCAGACTTTCATCTCTTTGGGCCTATGAAAGATGGACTATGTGGGCAACATTTTCCAGATAATGATGCTGTCATTGGAGCTGTAAGAAAGTGGCTAGCCTCTGCTGGCGCAGACTTTTACGGGTATGGCATACAGGCTCTTGTTCATCGCTGGCAAAAGTGCATAACGAACAGTGGTGATTATGTTGAAAAATAACTGTAAGTAACTGAAATCTTGCTCTATTTAACTGCATTGTTATGCTTTCTGTATCCGTTGTAGTTTTCATTAAAAAAATAGGAGGCATTATTTACAGAAAGCTCCTCGTACATATCCTTATAATTTATAAAATGAATACCTTTCCATCTACAGAAAACAATTACAATCATGGATTACAAGGTTTCTTTTACAATGATATTGGGAATCTATTTCACCATATGGCCATCCAAACATTTCTCGTTCTACTTAGAAAATAAGGTCTTTTACATTTAAAATTGTATTAAATTAAAATTAGTTTTATTAAAAGTGTATGAGCCCTGGCCAGTGTAAACAGGCATAAAATTACATTACACTACAAGAGAAATATTGTGCACCACAATTACGATGATGGTGGCACATATTAAAACCAGCCAAATTTATTAAATTGAAATTAGCTGGACATTTTTTATTTTTATTACAGCACATATGTGATGTAGACAGAAAAAAAAGAATGGTGGTAACATTACCATTGACACTGTGACAGAAAGAAACCTTACACTAATATGATAAACTGTTTCACTTCCTGAATAACCAGTCCGATTATTGATCACATATTCCTAGATGACATAGGCAACAAAACAAAAACAATGGATACAGACATACTGACAGAACAAACTGCAATATCTTTTTATTGTTAATGTAGTGGTTTGTTGCGAAGTACTGGAGTTTGGTAACAGAGATGATGCTCTTCATGGCTCCACCTTCAAAAGTTCCACATCAAAGATAAGTGTGGCATTGGGTGGGATAGTATTAGTAAGTTAAGAACAATATCACAAATGGTGTACTTAGCTATTAAAATGATCCATACTTTCCAGTTTCTGCTGTAACTCTTCTGCAAAGTATTTATGTATATGAGAAGCCAGAAATAAATTGGAAAATAAAAAATTGAATATATAAATATCTCAGAAATGTGACTGGTGAAGAAAGAATTCAGAATGCTGGAATCAGACGGTTTCTAAAAATGTAATCCTAAATGGCATAAACTCAGTATCACAAGATAAAATAATAAACACAAGAAAATATATATATTTTTCACTCATTAACCTTTGCTGAATGCACACTTCCTGACGGAAATAAACTGGAAAATTATGACTAAATAAGAACAAACTGAACATATAAATATCTCAGAAATGTTACTGGAGAAGAAAGAATTCAGAATGCAGGATTCAGATTGTATTTCTAAAAATGTAATCCTAAATAGCATAAACTCAGTATTACACGATAAAATAATAAAAAGACAAGAAAATACAAATATTTTTCACTCATTAACCTTTGCTGAATGCACACATTTTTGCCCCTCCCCCCCGGTGCAAATAAAAACATGCGCCTGAAACTTGTGTGTAAAATATGAGAATATTATGTTTCAACTACAAGTATAATTTTACACGTTACACTGAGGCTAGAAAAATTATGGCTACACAACAGCGAGAAAAATCACAATTTCCATTCTTTTCGCATAATTTATAACCCCCAATCAGTTCTATTTCCTCATGTTCACACACTTTCCAATCACTGCTTATTACTGGCAATTTAATATCCTTATGTTCAACAACACAGTTTAGGGGAAAAATTTCTCGACAATCTCTAATTCTAATATAAATCTGCAAGCTCGTTGGATCACTTTAGGAACTGATATGTATGTAATTTTACCTTCCGGTGTCCATAAACCGCACAACACAGTACTTCAAAATTTGAAGTTCACCTTAAATCTTCCCTCATTCTGATTCACTAAAATGCTTGCAACTCTGATCCTAATTAAGACAGAGTATTCTTCCTGTATTAATTGAAAGCTCTGTAAGTGGGTACATTAACTTTTGACCTTGGCCCATTACCTCAATTTATGAATGAAGGCACATCCAGATTTATGCAAGTTCTTCTCACAATATTCAGTGATTATTTCAATACATCTCTAGGAAGTGTCATGTTGGGACATGAAAGTATGACTGTCAGTGGACTGATTAGGCGTGATGAGTCAAGCTGTTATCTGTACAGACATGCTGTGGGCCATTATGACTCATTCAGCCATCTGAATTTATACTACTGCCAGTTGAGTTAAGTTAATTTCCTTGTCTGGCAAATCCTGTAGTGGTTTGGCCACAAGTAAAAAATTATTTTTTTATTTCTGACAAGTTTAATATGCAAGTGCTACTAGTATCAAGGACTTAACATTTTAAAAGTGTTGTAGTCCCTAGAATATCAGTCACAGTGCAAGTGCCATGGGAAAAACTACTTGTGATGGACTGGATAATAAGAAAGATTTGTAGTATTCAGAGAGGAAAGTGAATCTGCAATAAATGTGGGCATTCCAGTTTTGCCCATTAGTTTTGGATTTGATACAACTCTCTCTTAAAGTTCAGAATATGACACAATTAAAATGAAGACCTGAACAGCTTAAAACTGGGAAGACTCCATTCTTTCTTCCTTCAACAAAACACTGGGGTCATTTCCAATGAACAAGTAGTCACAAGTGAACTATACAAGGAAAAGCTGAAATTCAAAGAAGCAATTAAAAGAAAATATTTGACTTAACAGATTCCAGTAGTAGCAAGTTCACATGAAGATGAAATGATAAGCACAGCTAAAGGAAAACTTTCACATAACAGGAATAAAGAGTGAGAAGATTCAAATCCTGATGGTTCTTCCAAAGGGGTGATCAATTAAGAAACTTCAAGCATTCAAAGCCTCAAATTATATGATTCAGACTGCGAAAAAATTAGTGGCTGAGAAAGGAATTTTGTCAAGCCAAAATGTAAAACCAGGCAAAGTGAGTGATGCCTCCTGCTATAGCTGAAATGGGGAAGCAATTTCATGTATTTGATGACAGTAGCAGAATCAAGCTAGGGACAACAAGATCATGTTTCTTTTATCTCAGAAGACAAGAAGGTCCATCCTCTGACCCTACTTAAGTTTTAAGGAAAAGAAACCTGATAAGTTCCTAGGCATTCACCCTCCAAACTGTGTGTCACAAGTGGTAGTACACAGTCTGTATGTGTACCATTCATCAGAATGTGAAACTTCTGATTTCAGGTGCAAAATTCTGCGATATCATTGAAGAGCAAGTACAAACTTACAACTGTTCATTGAAAATCATACATGCCAACTGTAAGTTTGCTGCCAGACTGACTGTGATATATATCAATGGACTTGGTACCTAATCAGAAATACTGAACAGAGATCTGAAAATGACAACATAAACAACATAACTTACAGAGTGGATGACTGCTGGACACAACCATGTAATCTTGTAGTGACTCTCTCAGGACTTTTTTTGAAAAGTTGAACATCCTGCTTAGAATCCTTTTATAGCACAGAAGAAACCATGCTTCTATAAAGGTTCGGCCACACAGAGCGCTACGTACGCGACACACATGCTACGTATGCTATGTTCGCTATACAAACAGAAAAATATCTCCCTTTATTGGCAATGTGACTGGCCACACAGATTTCCATACGCTACGTATGCTATGTACCCTATGTTAGCTGCATCGCCGTGTACACAGCGCACGTAGCGAACATAGCGTAGCACTCTGTGTGGCCGAACCTTTAAGAACTGAAGCTGAAACTTTAAATGGGAGAAACTATTATTTGTGATTTTCTGAAAACCATTTCTTCATGATACAAAAGGAATGCAAGCTTTTCAATAATAATACCCAAGCAACTCTTCAACCAATTGTGTTTTATTCATAAAATGAAATGATATAGCACATCACTCTGTTTAGAACGTGACACAATAGCTATATATTCGTTTCAAAGCAAATTATGTTGGTTTATGTCACATAAAAGTGAAAGACGTGACTAAGATTTGCTACTTTTGTGCTGCCTCAGTACTAAAACTGGAGAAATTTAATCAATCTGCTATCATAAAAATGGTGCTGGTTTGGTCACTGGGTGGCATGTCTTTGCAATGGCACTTGGCAAAGGTGTGTGTGGTGGGAATAGGGAAACAATTAAAGTGCTAGAAAGAAAGGCAAGTCTGCAAAACCCTTAGGAGGAGCAGATCATGACATCAAGAAAGCTCAGCAAGTGGGTTCTTGTCCAGATTCTGTTGGTCACCTTTGAGCATTGTGCTGCTGAAGACCACAGCAAAGAAATAATTATGTCACGACACCATCCAACACCAATGTCACTCAAAAGTGTTTCCCCAAAAAAATATGTCCAGCCACACATAGAGTACATTTGCAACATAAAGAGTATCATACAGAAGATATAAAAGGACTTCTGACCTGTGAATATGACGCAAAGAAGTTGCTTGCACGCGTGTTACAAGTGAATGGCAGTGCAATTCAATGAAAATGTACGTATTTGAAGATCTTCCATGATATAACACCGTGTAGCCTGTTGAAAATCAGCCAATGTTTTGGAAGAATGTATCGCCTCCATCTTCAGGGTCAGGTTATTCTTAAACCCTGAAGACGGAGGTGACATGTTCCTCTGAAATGTCACTTGACTTTCAACAGACTACACAGCATTATATCCCAGAAGACAATACTCTTCATAACCACCACTCTGAGAACCTAAAATCCTTCATTCTATATTCCTCTGCCCCAGTAAATCTTGCATGTACCCTTCACCACCACCCAGCCTCAAGTGCTTATAAAAGTGGATCAGAAAGTGCAACAGGTCACACATATTAGCAACGAAACAGAATCCTGCTGCACCACTTCGAAACTAGACACTAGGCTTTGTAAATTGCAATTAGTTACTCTTGCAGGAAACATTTCTTACTTAAATTAAAAACTATTTTTAATATTTTAATGAATAAGCCTGCCAGGTTTCCTTTGTCCTTCTTATTAAAGTTGCAGTGCCTATGTAGCTTAATGTAAACTTTAATCTGAGTGACCAACAACAGCATGCACAAGGTGGTTCAAATATGACCAGTACTAATTTTTTTTTAAAAAAACCATAATTGCCAAACACTTACTTGCACATGTCAGTCTTCAACGTACTCCCCTCCAGAGTCAACATATTTTTCCCAACGTGCAGGAAGCATCCTGATGCCCTTTTCAAAAAAGGCTTGTGGTTGGCGGCGTATCCACTCCCGAACAGTCTGGATGACAGCGTTGTTATCCACAAACCGCATGCCTTGCAAGTCTGATTTGAGCCTTCCAAACAGGTAGAAATCAATTGGGGCCAAATCGGGTCTGTAGGGCAGATGTGTCAGAAGTTCCATTTCAATTTCTGGAGGGTTTCCATTTTTGTTTTGGCTGTATGGGGGCGTGCACTGTCTTGAAGGAAGGCTACCTGCTTTCCACCTGTCTTCTGCTTGGATCAGATCTTTTCCTTCACGTCTGTTGCCAGGAGGTCTGAGTAATAAGCTGCGTTGAATGTTCTGGCATCTGTCTACATGGATAACCCCCTGCCAGTCCCAGAAGAACGTTGCCATCACTTTTCCTGCCGAACGGCTCCTCTGCGCTCTCTTGGGTTTGGGAGAACTGGTATGCTGCCACTCGCGTGATGATTGTTGGAACTCGGGAATAAAGTAATGCACCCATGTTTCATTGGTGGTCACTATAGACTTCAAATATGCATCACATTCGTCTTCAAACTGCTGTAGGAGACGACTGGCAGCTTGTGTGCACACCATTTTGTTCACGTCCATCAAAGTGTGTGGTACTCACTGTGCATTCACCTTGTGATAGTGCAGTGGTATTTCACGATGTCTTTTACACTACCAACACTGATGGACAGCACTGCTCCAAGTTCCTTGATAGTGATGCGCCTATTCTCATGAATAACCGCGTCTGCAC